CTGCCAGGCTCATCACCTGGTGCTCGTCATCCATACTAAGCTGTTGATGAGTCTTCCTCTCATCTTGATACCACATTCTTCTTTACAGAGTCTGGTTTCATGAATCGTTTGCTCAGCATACAAATTGAATAGGTATGGTGAAAGGATACAACCCTGACACACCCTTCCTGATTTTAAACCACGTAATGCTTCCTTGCTTGATTCAGACAACAGCAGCTTTGGGTCTAGACATAGATTTTGTATGAACACAATTAAGTGTTCTAGGATTCCCATTCTTCTCAATGTTAGCCATAGTGTGTTCTGATCTATACAGTCAAATCCCTTTGCACAGTTAATAAAACACTAATAGATATTCTTCTGGTGTTCTCTAATTTCAGCCAGGAGCCATCTGACATCAGCAATATGTGGAGCCACTATTAATACTTCATCTCCTTATTTCCCTTATTTCCTAGATATTGTTCCCTTACATATCTGCCTACAGTCAGTGCAGTGATTTTGTGTCCAAGTGCATACACACCAGGAATCATAGAGAATCTTGACTCTCTCTTCATTGTTTGACTAAGTTATTAAGGAAGGTTGAGTTAAGGTATTACTACTTGCTTAAGGATTCAATTCTCTGATCTAGACTATTGGATTTCCTTCAAGGAGGAAAATATACACTGTGTGCTTTCATTTTACTCTTAATGAAACAAGTTTTGATCTCCATTTATCTTCTCTGGTAAAGAAGGGGATATAGAGATGGGAAAAGTTTCTCCTAACACATATCATAAAGCAATACAGTAAATAAATATTGGTTCTAGTTTCCTCTATCATTCTTTTCTTTTTTCTTAGCAATTTCTATACTCCATATTTTTTAGCTTTTAATGACCTTTTTTTTAAAACAACAACAACAACAACAAAACCCCACCAAACACATACTCTGGTGGCAAAGTCTGTATCACGTTCGGCTGATGACCCAGGGTTTTGCATATCCAGTGGTCCAAAAAGACCTGTGACTTTGCAGAAGAAAGATGGGCCGTCTCCTCTCTTTGTCATTTACAATCTTGTAAACCTGATGAAGGACCATTACGAGTCAAAAGTAACACACCATTGTTCGTCCTTGAGTCGTAACTGACCCACAGCAGGTTTTCAGAGGCAGTTAATCACATAGGAGGAGATTGCTCATCCTTCTCCTACAGAGAAGCTGATGGATTTGAGCCATCTACTTAATTCTTAACTTCATTGTCTCCTCCTTTGTGAGGTTAGTGTAAGGTGTATTATATTCACTTTTATAGGATAAGTGAGTAAACACATCTTTGCTCCAATTTTACTTTCTAATTTTTGTTCAAGAAGAAAAATCTTGAGAAGAAGTAATAGGTAGGGGAATTTGTTAGTTGAGGAAACAATACATATTTAAAGATTGATTGCCAATCCCTCTAGAAATACAAAAGCACCAATGAATGAGAAACACAAGACAGATATGAAGAATAATCAAATAGGATTATTTCAAGTGTTAATGGAATTTCCTTGACACTGAGAATGTTCAAGTAAATACTGAACAACTAATTAAAATGTCATACAAAGAATCTGAGCATAGCATAGAGATTTTAGATAGAGATCTATTTTCATCTATTATTCGATGACTTACAAATTTAACATAGTTCTATGAGTTGGGCAAGTATCTTATAAAGATGATAATAATAACAACTGATTTTTTTTGGAATATAACTTTAATGACTATTTGGCTTTTTATTTATTATTACCTTATGTGTTGATCATTAAAAATTAATAACTTATTACTATGTTCTACATAAACATATTTTTTACACTGTTGTTTGTTTGTCGTTATGTGCCATTGAGTCGTTTGCGACTCATAGCGACCAATATACAAGATTCTGCCAAGACATAACCTCCATCAAGTACAAGAGTGAATACAAGGACAATCCCCTGAACCATTACAAGAGTAG